TGGGGGGTTGGTAAGGGGGGTGTGGGGGGGGGGGGGGGGGGGGGGGGGGGGGTATGTATATTTTTTGGGGGGGGGGGGGGGGGGGGGTTTTTTGGGGGGGGGGGGGGGGGGGGGGGGGGTGGGGGGTTGGGGGTGGGGGGGGGTGGGTGTTGGGTGTTGGGGGGTGTTGTTTGTGGGGGGTGGTGTTTGTGTTATGTGGGATGGGTATGGTTTATGTGGTTTTTTGGTTTGTTAGGGGTTTGTTTTTTTAGTTGGGGTTTTTTTATTTTTTTATTAGCACTAGTTTTTGAAAAGCCGCACCAGCCAGTTTTGGTGCCTGTGGTGGCGCTAGTCGATGACTAACTCCCCCAGCAGGCTCTGTTAATGCAGATGCACTAACGCAACAGCTCCACCATACACACCCTAATTACCCCATAGCGCTGCATGATGGGAAGGGGAAGTTGTGGGTCCAAGGCGTGCATCGCTCATGATCATTGTGACAGATGTGATCACTCTGGCTGCACACTCGCCTCTCACCACTACTCCATAAGCACCTTTCATCCCCGAGCAGCCAGCGCAGAGAGGCGAGCTATAGCTGCAGAAGTGCACTAATTAAACAGGAAACAAACTACGCATATCCATCATCATCCTTCTTATTAAGCATGCGCCGTCATCGCAGCTGGCTGATACAGGAAGATATTACTACCTTAAAAAAAATGCAACTCTCTGGAGATGATGTATTCGCCGGTAATCACATCAGTCCTGGGAGTAACGTTTCAGGTAGACGCAAAGATATAGTTGATCTGCTTTTAATTGGATAAATGCTTTTATCGTTTTTGGTTTATTTGCTTATAGAAATAATATTGTTTCTTTCAAATGATTTTGGATCTAGGCAATCTGTGTGGTCCAAAACAAATAAATAAACTGCAGCTTTAGTTTGTAAGTGTTAAAACGTGAGTTGTTCGAGGGCATCTTCATCTAGAGTCCCTCAAGTTGTGTACTTCGAAGCAATCTGGATGGCTTTTTTAGTCAATTATTTCAGATCCATCCTATTCACTCAATTTATGACAGCACTTCACACATGGATTTGCAAACACGTCGATGGGGAAATCATAGAGAAAGAGAACTATAAAAAGCAATAGGTTTCAGTAACACTGATGTGGTCAGTGCCGAGCAGCTGAAGAGGATGTTCATCTTGTTAAATTATTACTGACTCTAGAGGAGCAACAACTTCAAACTTGTAAACTAGTCAACCCTTTCTATGATGCTGGTTTTCATAACTTTGCAATACAATGGTGTCAAAGCAGAATGGTGGCAAGTGATGCCCCTGGACAGCCCACTTCAAATAATAAAATGATTAAATGTCATCTTTACCGGACCTTTTGAACTGTATTTGTGGATATTCCTTTCATGTACAGTATTGAAGACAAATGCATGAAGAATCTTTAATGTCTACTTTGGCACAAAATTGTCGATTGTTGCAGTTTTTTGGTTTCGGAATGCTAAAAAATAATTGCTATTGAGAGATATGAGTGTCGTCTACATATTGTGATCGGACCAAGAAAAAACGCATTTGCACATGCGTCAGCCGGCACGAGCCCAATTCATTTAAACAAGTGACTTCAAAAATTCACAGCGAGTAAACTAGACTGGTCCAAAAAAAATTCACTTCCCTCAGCATTGACACACATGTGGAACGGAGCTTTGGGCCAAGAGCCAACTTTTGGACCATCCTGTTGAACGTTTTTGAGAGGTAAGACGATGCTATATGTTAGCATTGGCTAATTCTTATTCAAGGTCCACCCCCATCGGCCCGGGGTGGTATTGCAAGCATGTCAGCGCAAGTCATTTTAGCCACTTTTGAGCCGGGACCCGCCCCCCCCCTGGATTGGACACATGTTACCTGACCTAACGGCAGCACGTATAGATCAAACAGAATGATAGCGCTTCTCCTCTTCTTTCCTTCTTTTACTAGTCTCTATCGACACATCATTTATCCATATTTATTAACATCAGGAAAGGTTCACAGAATAAAGACCGTGTATAAGACTTTAGTTTAGTGCCAACGCAAATAAGAAAAGATAACATCGAGCATAAATAAATCATGTAAATATGATGCTGCTGGTTTTCTCTGATTTTATCTTTTTAAACACGCTTCATGAAGGCGACTGCTGTTACATTCAGGTTCCCTTTCTTATGTATGTATTTATAAATTATATATCTTACCTCCAATTATCTAGGCACGGCACAGGAACCATATTTATTCTCAACATTCTTCCTCAACAGTCTTTCCTTCCTGCTGCTGTCAGACTGTACAACAAACAATGAGGACTAACGAACACTGCCAACTTGATCTCACGTGTCATGCGCCGGTGCAATATCCTCAACTAATATCAGAATGTGCAATAACATGTCACTGTCACTTTACTGAGTCACTGTCCCAGAGCCTCATGTACAGGTGTAAACATACTGCTGCTAATGTACAGGTGTAAACATACTGCTGCTAATGTACAGGTGTAATCATACTGCTGCTAATGTACAGGTGTAATCATACTGCTGCTAATGTACAGGTGTAAACATACTGCTGCTAATGTACAGGTGTAAACATACTGCTGCTAATGTACAGGTGTAAACATACTGCTGCTAATGTACAGATGTTAACATACTGCTTCTAATGTACAGGTGTAAACATACTGCTGCTAATGTACAGATGTAAACATACTGCTGCTAATGTACAGGTGTAAACATACTGCTGCTAATGTACAGGTGTAAACATACTGCTGCTAATGTACAGGTGTAAACATACTGCTGCTAATGTACAGGTGTAAACATACTGCTGCTAATGTACAGGTGTGAACAAACTGCTGCTAATGTACAGGTGTAAACATACTGCTGCTAATGTACAGGTGTAAACATACTGCTGCTAATGTACAGGTGTAAACATACTGCTGCTAATGTACAGGTGTGAACATACTGCTGCTAATGTACAGGTGTAAACATACTGCTTCTAATGTACAGATGTTAACATACTGCTTCTAATGTACAGGTGTAAACATACTGCTGCTAATGTACAGATGTAAACATACTGCTGCTAATGTACAGATGTAAACATACTGCTGCTAATGTACAGGTGTAAACATACTGCTGCTAATGTACAGGTGTAAACATACTGCTGCTAATGTACAGGTGTAAACATACTGCTGCTAATGTACAGGTGTAAACATACTGCTGCTAATGTACAGATACTAACATATAACTACATATTGCTTGCACTGGAAAACACAGTACTTTATACTTGCTGCTTATTTTTTCCCAATTTAGAGATGTTTTACTTGTTTCTTTGATGGTAGAGTTAGAGATTTTATTTCATTTTAATTAGTTATTGTTCTTTTATTTTGTGCCGTGTGCTCCTCATTCCTTCTCTTCTGTAACTTGTGATGCAACACTGACATTCCCCCACAGTGGCACGAATAAAGGATCTCTTAATTTCTTAACATAATATTTATCTTTATTGATATACTATATCCAACAGGCATCAAAGCAGTAGCAACACTCAAGAGGTAATAGATTATTATAGACATGCATCATTGGGGCTGGTTTTGTGCCTGAATCACCTCCGTGGATCCTGAACCTGCACGGCTTCAGCTGTCTCCCGTGCAGTGTCTATAACAAGCTCAGTATATTTTAGGAGTGAAGACGTATGACAGGGCACACGCTATTATGCGAGCTACTCGGGATCTGTGGGGCTATTTAAAGACTTAAATTCTGCTTTGAACTGGACTTCATGGGATGCAATGTGACGGACAGTTGAGGAACTCTTTCTGCTTGAGGAGTGGTGATTAGGCATTAGATTTGCACACAAAATGAGAATGCTGATGGGTCCCTGGCACACAGACATGTGTGCCTTGACAGCCCATTCTTACTAAGCTGTATTGTTATAGCGGCTGCCATGAATTCAGGTCAGCAGCCAGAGTTTCAAACTTTTAACCACATTATGACACTAAACTTTTCCTAATTGCATTGACCCATGTTTTAGTTTTTGTATGTGATTTATTACCATGGATTGTTGGCCAAAATGGGTTTGTATGGACTTCTTTAAAAAGGCAGAGTGCAGCTACAACGTTGTGTAAACTTTTGTCTTCTCACCTCCACTGTTCCTGGAGCACATTCTTGTTACATCAGCACATAGGCCTCCTCCAGGGGTCTCCTGATAAACTGCCAGGTGCAATATCCAATGTGGTACAACATGTTTAGTATTGTGGGATAAGACTCTGTGCTTCCAGTTCTGTAGTTCTGAAGCTTTCAGAAGTTTGAGCTGTGAGAAAACATAGGAGTGCACAGTCATTGTGCCATAACGTTTCGATATGAAACACTCTTTCAGTGCAACAATTAGGTCGGTCTTATGCAATTTCACTTCCATACTGACCTCATACTCATTTGCATATTTGAGGCATTCTGGTGATTTACAGCACAGAGGCAATTAAACTAAAGGATGTCTCGAGGGCTTCCACCTGGGCTGAACCTATGCAACCCCCTTTGATCTCTATAAATGGCTGCATTTACTCTGCAGACCTTATCTGAATGAAATTCAATTATTTCTGAATTCAGCATCACCACCAAAAGAGTGGGGAAAAGCCTTTATCACAGCATGATCTGCTGCTGTAGCAGTGATGAACATGTGTGTAGTTTCACTGCCCCCTCATGGTCAGACAGTGACAAATACTTTGTGTCGGTCACGTCCTGAGGGTCATGACTGTATTTTTGTTGAGCTGTGGACTCAAGGGCATGGGGACCTACTAAAATCTATGATAGCCTTTGTTCAAAACCATCTGGGTGTTAATGGCATCCTCCATTCTTGGAAATCATTTAACAATAAATAAACATCTGTTCTAAACAAGTGCCATGCCACATATGGTCGCCAAGAATGATACCTTCGTAAATTTACAGCTCTTTAATCTTGACTGTGACCTGACAAACACAATCCTGTTTGGTTCTCTTTTAAGGACTTTTCAATGTGGCTACGTTCAAAATACAGTTTCAACATGAAACCGATTGGGAGGCGGCAAAGAGCTAGAGGTTGTTGGATGCTATTTATTCCAAATACATTCAGTGCAAACACTCAGTGGTCTAGTGGCTCCACTCTCCACAGACGTGGCTGGTACTTTAATTTAGCAGCAACCATAAGTAAAGGATGATTAAAATGGATGACCTGGTGCAGAGTGATATATTGCATGAAAAGTTTAAAGTTGTGTCCATGGCATATTTTATCTTCAGGAGCAGCAGCACTTGTCTCTTCCTGTGATTGAATGTTGTGACTAGACTTCTTGATGGGGATGTGTTGGACAAAGGGGAATATTGTGGTT